GCTCAAGGTCAGCAACTACATTGTCTGGGTTGTCCGGGATATCCAACTCTTTCTGATATAATTCCTCTGTGTATTCTTGCCACCTCTTCTTGATGTCTTCTGCTTCTGTTAGGTCCCTACCATTTTTGTCCTTTATCATATTCATCTTTGCACGAAATGTTCCTCTAATAGCTCCAATTTTCCTGAACAGATCTCTGGTTTTTCCTTTTCTGTTTTTTCCCCCTCTATTTCTTTGCATTGTTCATTTAAGAAGGCCCTCTTGTCTCTCCTTGCTATTCTTTGGAAGTCTGCATTCAATTTTCTGTAACTTTCCCTATCTCCCTTCTATCTTGTTTCCCTTCTCTTCTCTGCTATTTGTACGGCCTCGTTGGACAGCCACTTTGCTTTCTTGCATTTCCTTTTCTTTGAGATGGTTTTTGTCTTTCTTGCATTTTCTTTTCTTTGGGATGGTTTTTATTGCTGCCTCCTGTACAATGTTACGAGCCTCTATCCAAAGTTCTTCAGGCACTCTGTCCACCAAATCGAGTTCCTTAAATCTGTTCTTTACTTCCACTGTGTATTCATAAGGGATTTGGTTTAGATTATACCTGAGGAGCCCAGTGGTTTTTCCTACTCTCTTCAAGAGGAGAAAAACACTCAGCAGAGAAGCAGTGCTCTCACTTAATTCAAAGGCTAGAAGTAATTAGTGCTGGATAAGTATATTATCTCCCCAAACTGGACATGTGCCTCCCAGTCACACAAACTACAGATAGCATATGAGGTTGTAAATTAAACCCCAGTTTTATTTCTGAAATAACGTACTGAATAACTTAAGGAACAGGATTCCAGTCATTATGTAAATTGTTACTTCTCAGCTACATATCACACTTCCCACATTTATTAGGCTGAAAGAGATATATTCCAACAATGTGCTGAAAAAATATTCTACCTCTCTTCAGCCATTCTCTTTCAGTTTTATAGAAAATAAATGGCATTCATATGTTTAAAATCAGAGAAAATGTTGATGGATTTTTCATGGGTGGGGGTCTTGGTCTCACCTGAGTTATGACATAGACAAGGAGCTTCCCTGTTTGTTTTTGTTCAATGTGACTGCTGCCACACCTGTTGACGGTATATAGTCTGCTTTCTTCATATGGTATGTTCTGAATTGTAGGGGCTTCTCTGCCACCTAAGTGCAAACTTCATTTGCTTTTGATTTACCCAATCATAATTCTGCTCTTCATAATCCTGAGCAAGTCTGTAATAGAAAAGGTATAGTATATTGACAGCTCAGAGGAAGATTGAATTTGAGAGTCAGACTTTATAATAATGAATGAGTTAAAGTGTTTTCTTTTCTTTTCAGGTGGCCGGATGTTGCGTTTAATGAAAGTGAATGTGGAAGATGCAGGTCGTTACACTTGTGTGGTGACTAATGTTGCAGGAGAAGAGAGGAAAAACTTTGACCTTTCAGTTTTAGGTTAGTTTTCAACTTCTGGAAGGGCAATCATAGAATTTTTGTTTCTTATTCGTGAATGGCTTCCCTACTTTAAAATTCAAATACATTTGGAAAAATGGCATAGCCAATTGGTAGCCCCCGAAATGAGGAATGTTTTTCCATCCAGAAAGTTGAGAGGATAGAGAAATGAATTTGTAAATTCTAAGGAGAGAAACCTCTCCCCTTAAAACTTTGAGGAGGGGGATGCACCTGCAAATCTCCAGCTTAATTACTTAGGGTTCCGGGAGTACCTCTGGATTCATCTCTGAGTCTGGGTGCCCAGGTTTTGCCCAGGAGTGCATTTGCACCGTTAAAACTAGTGTGTCAACTCTCTCCATTCTTGGAGAAGTCTGATTTGGCCTCAGTGAGTCATGCCTTAGTTACATTCTGGCTGGCTTGCTGTAATACACTATACATAGGACTGCCTATGGAAAGTGACAGGAAACTTCAGTGGGTCCAAATGCAGTAGCCAAATTGCTAACTGGGGCTAGACACAGGGATCACACAAACCGCTTTTTACAGCAGCTGCATGGGCTGCTGATCTATTTCTAGCAGAAGTCAAAGTGATGGTTCTGACTTATAAAGCCCTAAATGGCTTGGGCTCAAGCTGTCTCAAGGACTGCACCTCCCTTTCTCCTCAGGCAATCTTTCCCTATGTGAATGGCTGCCCAGTGGGTTTTTTAAAAAATGGAGTATTGTACCTGATTGTATCGAATATGTTTTGGTGTTGTGTATGCCCCATGGAGACCATTTTTTAGCAATAGTTCAGTTGGGGGACTGAGGACGGGCCTTGGGGGGGGCATTAGCAAGCTTTATGTTGTCCTTCGGTGCACAATCCCCACTCCTGCATTAAATTAATTTGGCTAAAGGCAATCTGTGAGAGTGGGATACCTCCCTCTACCATTTTGGGATCAGTATCCCTGCTCATTTAGAAGAGACCTGATATTTTATGCATGCTGGAATTCAGCACACAACCATTTGGGTTGAGACAGCTACTGACAATGGAAGTGACATTTTTTATTCCTTCCTAGTAGTGACTCATGCAAAGAATCATGTCATTTTATTATGTTTCCCTATTCTCATGTGTGTTCATATGTTTTTTTTGTTTTTGTTTTGGCAATACAAAAGTTCCTCCAGGCATTGTGGGAGAAAATAACTTGGAAGATGTGAAAGTGAAAGAGAGCCAGAGCATTATGCTGAAGTGTGAAGTGACAGGTAAATTAAAGCTGATCTTGCTTGTTTACATTTGTCTTGCCTGCAGAGATATTTCTGTATTAATACCTATTTAGTTAGCCAGGTGGAACAGGAGGGAACAAATACTGACAATTTGGACTATGATTTGCAAAGCATGGACAGCCAGTGTTATACTGCTGAGCACTTAGTCATTGTGAAGACTTAATTTTGTCCAACATAAAGAGGAAAATGGTAGTCACAAGGTATAGCCAGACAACCATCTTTTTCTATCACAAAATGATTATACTTTTTCATGCTACAGAAAGCTTGTGGTGTGTATGTATTGTTATCTTGATCACAGGAAGTTACTAAGAGTACTCATTTAGTTGGTTGGGGAATCAATAGGAAGCAGTAAGAAACTTAGGTGAGAAATTATTATCTCCTTCAGGTAAATATAACTTTTGGTCTGCAGCTTTTCATGGCAAAAACATATAGGCTGAAATCCTGTTTTGCAACTCTGTGTGTGCAACATTGATGATGTCATCAATAGTGGCAAAACTCTGTTGATTGAGGGCTTCCTTTGTTAATTTCAGGATGCACATGACGCTGGCTCATTGTGTACAAATTGCATGCACCCTGAAATCATTTTTAATCCACCTTCAATCAGCAGCAATTTGCACTGATGACATCATCCCTATTGTGCACATGGACCTACACAACAGGATTTCAGATGCTGTTTGTGTTATTTTAATTGATCACTAATTCTTATTGGTGAATATTATTACAACAATTAAATTTTACAGAGTTCTTCTTCAGCCCTAGGTACATGAAAATTAACTTCCTTCCATTTTAACCTGGATTCACTTTTCGTGACCTCTACAGATCATCAGATGATAGGTTTCTAAGGAAATACTCTACCTGATTAAAATACTTTTAAAAAACTATGAAACATTAATCTCTGGCTTGTTAACATTATACTTCCCAATTCTACAAAGCTGAAAAAAAATCTTTTCTCTAGTAGATTAAAGTGTGATACGGATTTTTTACTTTGTGTTTTGAGTTTAAAAACCTGTCAAACAGATAAATGTTTAAAATATCTGTGTTGTCTTCAAAGTGCACAGTTATTAATACTGAACAAATATATCTCACTTGGCCAAAAAAAGGAAACCCCATCCCAAAAATTACATGGCTAAAAGACGGTCAACCTTTTGTGGAGGATGATGAGCATCAATTAATGTCCAGTGGTCGCTTTCTTCAAATTACAAATGCACAAGTAGCTGACACAGGGAGATATATTTGTGTTGCATCGAGCGTGGCTGGAGACAAGAGCAAATCCTTCAGCGTTAATGTACTTGGTAAGATTTTGGGGTGGTAAAAAAAAAGGCATTTCAGTTCAGTTTCATGAAAGAAGATAGATTTGTTTGGATTCAATTTGTCAGTCAATAAATGTTTTTACATTTTTAAATGTAACAAATGTAACAAATTGTAAATGTAACAAATCTGCTTACCAAACAGATGGCAACATTGTTAGAGCTTGATACTAAGGCCCCAATGGGAAGTCAGAGGGGTGGCCTGAGTACTGTGAATGTGAGCGTTGCCCTTCAGATGAGTGTGGGCTGTGTGCAAGTCTCCTTTGAAGTGCTTCCAGCCCATCTAGTGGCTCAAATGATCTGTAGCAGATTGGGGAACCTTTTTAGGGCTGAGGATAAATTTGTTCTAAGCAGACATGGAGGGGGGCAGATATATAGCTACAGTGGTTGGAGCCATAACACACAGCTGGCAGGGCCTCTGACACCCCAACTAAATGGTTTCTTGGACTCCACTCACACGGATACATACACACACATGCATGAACTCCTGAGTGAATGTCAAGCTCAGGTGGTTCTGATCAAGGCTGCATCTCAGTCAGAAGTCAGCTCCTCTCTCTTTTTGCCTTTCCCCAGTGGGGAAGACAAGTGGAAGGTGAAACAAACTGAGTTCCAACGTCAGTTAAGAGACTGCACCTTAGTTGGGAACTGCTCTCTCAACCCCTCACCCTTCTGTGAAAAGAGAAAGGGAGTTTACGTTGGAGTCCTTCACAGGTCAGATGGAAAGATGCAGAAGCCTTCTGCACTGAAGACTTCCCATCTGGCCTCTTGCAACTCTGGGCTGATAATCTTGCCTGGAATAGGCAGGATGGGGCTCTTTCTGATCTGAAAATAATACACAGTGCTTTGACAGTCCATTTTTGGACTGGTGTGCCTTTCACCTGCCTGTGAGCAATGAGAGGTAGATATCTTTCTCCTGATACCAGTCCCCTGCATCTGGCATTTTGAAGTACCTTCCTTTTAAGCCTGGAGATTATACATCCCCATCATGGCTTGTAACCTGCGATGGACTTTTCCTCCAGGAATCTGTCCAACCCTCTTTTAGGGGCATCTAGGCCAGATGCCATCACTGTGTCCTGTGGCAAGGGGTTCCACAGACTAACAACACACTGGGTAAAGAAATATTTTCTTTTGTCTGTTCTCATTCTCCCAACACTCAATTGGAGTGGATGTCCCCTGGCTCTGGTATTGTGTGAGAGGGAAAAGAGCTTCCCTCTATCGACTTTATCCACCCCTGCATGATTTTATCCATCTCAATCATGTCCCTCCTCAGACACTTTCTCTCTAGACGAAAGAGCCTAAAATGCTGTAGCTTTTCTTCATAAGGGAGGTGCCCCAGCCCAGTTATCATTTTAGTCCCTCTCTTCTGCACCTTTTCCTGCATATTAGTTTATTTATTTCATTAGATCCTTAATTTCACACATTAAAAACCCCAACATCCATGGAAGTATAGAAACGTAATGAGTTATCTACTTGGCAGAGTCATGTTGTCTTCTGACAACATTTAGAAACACACTGGAGTCATAGGTAGACATGCTTGATACAGTAGACCCTCTACTTCAGGAATTAATCCGTATTGGAATGGTGGCTGCAAGTTGAAAAGTTTGTAAGTTGAATCTCCATTGACCTACAATGCACTGAAAACTGATTAATCCCATAACCAGTGGTTTTTATTCTATTTTTATTCCATTTTGGTTTTTTTCTGGTCTTAACATCCATAGAAGTATAGAAACGTAATTTGGTATCCTCTGAGTTATCTACTTGGCAGAGTCATGTTGTCTTCTGACAACATTTAGAAACACACTGGAGTCATAGGTAGACATGCTTGATACAGTAGACCCTCTACTTCAGGAATTAATCCGTATTGGAATGGTGGCTGCAAGTTGAAAAGTTTGTAAGTTGAATCTCCATTGACCTACAATGCACTGAAAACTGATTAATCCCATAACCAGTGGTTTTTATTCTATTTTTATTCCATTTTGGTTTTTTTCTGGTCTGTAAGTCGATTCTCTGGCTGCAAGTCGAATCTAAATTTTGCAGCCAGAGAAGTCTGTAACTCGTAAAGTCTGTAAGTCAAGCCGTCTGTAAGTCGAGGGTCCACTGTAATAGCAGTAAAGTCTCAATTTCAGCAATTGTTAGCTTGCCAAACTGACTTGAACATTTATATATTTTTCTTGAGTAGCTTGGTCATCTAATTGGATGCTAGCAGGGTAAAAGATCAATGGTATTGATTTATCCAGACAATAATCTACAAGCTACATTACAGACTTCCCACCTCCACAAAGTTCTCTAATATGGTCTCATTGTTCAGATTTTAATATGTACATTAAATCCACAAAGAGGAGCAGCTGTGATTTGTATTTTCTTTTTTCATTCTTCCCTGATCTTACTCAGTGTCTCCAACCATTGTGGGTGCAGATAATGATGGTGGCACAGAAGAGGTTACTGTCATCTTGAATAACCCAACTTCACTGGTTTGTGAAGCTTATTCATATCCCCCAGCTACAGTTACCTGGCTGAAAGATGGAGCTCTTATAGAATCAAACAGGAATATCCGGATTTTGCCAGGTGATTATTTGTGCTATTTCCTTATTTGCAATAAATGTTTGTCCTGATGAAACTTACATTTCTAAATTAGCTTTAGTGTATTGATTTTTAAATTATTGATCTATTGTCTGTATCTATAGGGCAGTGCAGGTAAAGCAAATATGAAATTTTTGCAAACACTATGCATAAGTATCAATCTAGTTGTAAAATTCTACCTGGCTGAAGTGAATGATATGGAGCAGCAGAGTTTACGCTACCTCAAGAATATTAGGAGTTTAGCTTGATCCCTTCCATAGTATCACTTCACAATGGTGCAGTGATGTTAATGTGCAGCAGAGCAAATCATTCTATGGGGCAATTCTAAAAATGAGGGCAGCCTAAATGAAAACTTGTAATTTTGAAACTGCACCAAATTTGGCACAGATACAGCAGACAGCCCGCTCCTGCTCTGTGTCAAATTTGAGGAAGTATTGTTGAAAACAGCCATGACAATTGCATTCTCTTTAGGTGAGAAATGGTTGTATGAAAAAAGGAGTCTGATTCTGGGATTTTCTCTTGCTTGGTGCCACTTTGTGAATGCTAGTGGGCCACAAGTGGGTATCCGGTAGACCAGCCATTCTCAACCTTTTTTTGGCCATGACCTTTTTTAGGAGCTCTTCGCAGGTTCCAGGGCCCCCGTCAAACAAGGATACAACATCTTTCTGAAACTTCTCATATTTTTCAATCTGTGCCCCTCTTCAAATGTGCCAGGGCCCCTGTTGAGAATGGCTGCTGTAGACCATCTTGACTGCTGCCATTGGCGTTGTCAGCATTTAGGCTGCCCTTTGTTAGGTAAAGTTTGGCATCGTTTTTCTTGCCAGCAGTGTAGACACAATAATGTGCAGCAATATCGGGACATTTTCTAGTGTTTTGAATTGTGGATATAGAAGCACATCTCACATTCATAAATCAGAGGTTTCATTTTGAAGAACTGAAACTTCTTTATTGTAGAAATTTAAAAAAACTATGTTACATTAAACACTATTATAATCATCCTACAAAAATTGTAAAAATAATTCTGTGCTGAACTTTCTGCTGTCTTTGACAGATAAAAGAGAGAAATAGCTCTCTAGGGCTTGTATCGTGTTTGAATATTTACACTCTTGAAGAGCTACAATTGTGGAAGTAACCAAGATAAAATGACAATATTTTATTTGCGTACGTGAACAGGCACACAACCAGAGTTTCATCAGGTCATCGCAGTGGCTTCTACAGTTGGAGTTCTGCACACCTAAATTTTGGACAGAATGCTCTCCTAGGATCATTATATAATGGGCAAGAAAGAATTACTAAAAGAAAACACAGCTCTAAAAATACTTAAGTGTGGAAAAGTCAATTGTTTACTAAATCTGCCATCAGTTTTCCGAAATAATCTATATAACTTAGAAAATATGATGAGTTTGTAGTAAACAGTGGTTGATGCATGAACCACATTTGTATGGCCACCACATAATATACTCCTGGGATCAGAATCTCTTTGGCAAGGTTCGTTCTGGGGCATTATTTTGGGAAATAACCCTAAACCAGCCTCCTGTCCTTAATTTTTCTAGCTGACATAGTTTGGGAAGATAATTGAGGTTCATGTTATTCCACTTCAGCCAAAAATTTAATACACACAGCTAGATTTTGAGAAAAATAGAAGGGAAAACCATTTCATTTCAAATCCGGAAAATCAACCAACCAACCAACCAAAACACTAAGCATGTATGGGTTGCAATCCTGCTGCTTAGCATAGAGAGTTGTATTAGAGCAGGCCCTTTGATCAGTGGGGAGTTGGTGAGTCCATTGATTCCATAGCAAATTCCATTGATTCAAATGGGCCTATTCTAGTTGCAACTTACTGTGCTAAGCAACAGGATTTCAATCATTGTTTCACATTTTATCCTCATTTTGTAGCTTCATAATGTCAAGAGTGACAAATCAAATTTTCTTCTAGACCAAAAGGTATTTTTGTGGGAATTAGCAAGCACTCTCTTGTTAAAGAAATGGATAAGATATTTGTTTAAAGTAAAAACAATAATAACGTTAACCTCTGTAACTGTGCATATTTCCAGCTGGCCTTTTCCCACCAAGTACAAAACAATGACAAGGGGGGGGGGAATGCAATGGGAAGTAGAATCAGTGCACCAGAATGCCCGTGTTATTTTACAAGTTGATGCAGGGCTTAGTTGTTGATGCAGGGCCAAAATCCAGAGAACTGGTTGCATTGCAGTTCTCTGGATTTTGGCCTTGAGATCCAACTCTAGCTACACTGCTGGAAACAATCAGATGACATTATTAGAATTTACAAGTAATTTGCAGTCTGAATTGTGAAATCCAATGCTTGGATTTCACATTTCACTGAGAATTGGCCTTGGATGAACAAGTATTAATGAGATTTATTTGGACATGATAATGATAGAAGTTATATTTTATTAATATTTACTTATATTACAGAATTTGTGGTGTGGCCCCGAATACTTGGTAAACAGTTACTCAGAAAGACTTTTCATTATGCTTCCATGGGAAGGTTCTGCAGAACTGGCCTGTTCTTCATTTTTGCAGCTGTGAATTAACCCTAAAACATTTCAGTCATGGTAGAGACCAAATGAAGCTCCACAAGCTTGTCATGCCCAATATGTTTAAACCAGAATTTGGGCTATTAGTCTTTTGAAATGAATTATAACTTGTTACTCCTTCTTTTGTGAAGTACCCTGCTCCTTATTGCTCATGTTTTGAAGAGTAACATCTTTTTAATGTGTTACTAGCAACATTTCAGTTACTTGAAAATGTTTTACTCACTTTTTAGAAAAGATACCATTCTTAAATTTAAAAAATGCTCCCCCTCCCGTGACACTGAAGGAAGATAGCAGAATGTTGCTCATGGCATCTCAAAAACAATGTTGTTAGTTGTTAACCTGAGTTTTAAAAGTAACCATATTAGGGATGTTGTTATGGATAGCATCGTTCTGTGTAATGCATTAGCTGAAATCCCGTATATGTAAATTCTGTGGCATAAGACTGATGCTGTCATCTGCTTGAGCAATTTTTCAGAAATTAAACATTTCCTGTTTCTAGTCCTGGGACACCCACAGGCCTTAAGTAGTCTCTTTCATTTTTGGAAACTCATGGAAGCTGTAGAGAACAGAAAGTCTTTAATTACTGAAAATTGCCCTTACTGCACAGAACATGCAGGAACAGGATTTCACCCACAACTTTCAAGATCTTGGTAAAATGATTCATATGCATTTTAAAAAACAAAGAACTGTGGAAAATGGTATTCAGAGACCCTACAACTGAAAATGCAGTTTGTAAATTAAATTGTAACTTCAGAGTTGGACATGTCTATCTTGTATAGAGCCATTTTGCAGTATGCGCAGGCGTACTCTCAAAATAGTTAGATATTTTCATTGTAAATGAGTGTTCAAGTCTGGCTACATCATGAGACATATTCACATGTGATAGCTGTTCAGAATGATCATAGCATACTATAGCATCCCATTTGTGTTATCTGATCATGTGAGACTTTCAACACATACAAGCCATGGGTTTTGTGTGGCAATTCTAAAGCACATTTAAAATGAGTTATGGTAGTATGCAGTTCCCCAGTGTGGAGTTGTGGACAGAGTGATAGAGTAGGACTCTGGAGAACAAGGTTCAAATCTCCACTCAGCCATGGAATCTCACTGGGGGGCGGAACTGGTAAAACCTTAAATATCTCACATCACCTTGAAAGCTGTATTAGGGTCACAGTAAGTCAGTTCCAACTTGAAGGCAAAGAACACACACACAAACATGGTGATACAAAAAAACTCTGATGGCTATATCTTTTCATGGGTTGACTTCCATGTTGCAGGGAGTGATCCCTCAGTGCCAGAGCATAATCAGCACGTTCATTGATTGAACACTGAAGCTTGATGAGGGTAGTAAAATAAATTCATATAATTATTCCTGCTTTATCCTAGCTTGAGCAAACCTTTATATACTTCACTTTTAGCCTGCCCTGAAATAAGAATTGTTTTTCCTAAATGTCACAATCCACAGAAAAATGTACAAGAATTAACTTGAAGAGGGGGGTTGCTTTTATTACAGGTGGTCGAACTCTACAGATTCTAAACGCACAGGAGGACAACACTGGTAGATATACTTGTGTTGCTGTAAATGAAGCAGGAGAAACATTAAAACACTATGAAGTGAAAGTCTATAGTAAGTGTGCCAATGCTCTTCCTTTATGTTATCTTTAAAAAAAACCACTTTGAGTCTTGCTTTCTCTCACTCTTGCAGTTTTTCCTGCTTGACTGCTCAGAATTACTAACACAGTCTGTTCTCATTATAATTATATCCACCTACTGGCCAAATAACTTATTAACCAGAGCAAAGCCTTGCCGACCATCCTGGAAATGAGACAAGACACAGGTGATGGGTTTAACCCGGGTCACCTTATCCCCATTGGGTGAGTCCCAGGCTCCAGGTCCATGCTGTCATGTCGCCAGCCCATTCTTGGCCACACAACACTTGGATGGTGCTCCTGGCTGTCAGTTGCCCAAGCCTCATGATTTTAGATGGCCACTGGCCATGGGTGGCCATCTGTGGTTTCCCCTCCCCCATTCCAGCCACTGAATCTTGGGATCCACAATGCCAAGGTGGTTGCAGTAACACCCACTAAGAGACCGTTGGGAACTCACTGCTACTAAGTTCCCCATCCACACTACCCACCAGTGTGACCTATTTAGCAACAAATACACCCCTGATCAGCCCATTATATGCCCTGTGGGCAATCTGTGTGGGATCGGCAAAAATGGTCTTTTCTTCAATATGCCAATAAGATTACATGAGTCCACAATTCCTACCTGACCTTGAAATGACTAGCTAAATTCACACAGGACCCTAAGGGTGGATGGATGAGTTACTTTGCCTCACAAAGAGGCCTGTTAGAGGGTGGGATCGCTTAATAAAGGCTTCCTTTCCTGCCCTCATTAGATGAGCTGCAGGCAGGCAATAGGTGCCGGTGGGGGGGCTAGTCTCCTGATCCAGGCAGGGCAAGCAAAGGTCTCCTGCCCACATAGCCTCTAGTGGGGGGGAGGGGCTAGTCTCCTGATCCAGGCAGGGCAGGCAAAGGTCTCCTGCCCACATAGCCTCTAGGTGCACACCCAGAGCCAGGCCATGTGCCTTTGTATGTTGTTAAACTTACACTTGTATTTGACATTTCGTTACACTTAATCTGGGGCATGTTAGGGCCAAATTAGATTTTTTAAAAAAAGAGAGATACATGTGCACTAGTTTCCCAAATATTTTATTTTATTTTCAGCTGCATGGAGCTAAACACTCAAGAAAATGAACAACAGGGATGTGTGGGGAATATGTCATTTTCCTTCCAGCCACATTTCCACTCAAAATCACCCTCCCTGCCTGGTTTTGCACCTATTGGGGCAAAGATGGGGCACTTCTGCTTTGAATGATACAATATCTGGAGGAGGGGGCGGGGACTAAGTGGCCCCTGCCATGCGACCTCCCTTGAGTGCAGCCTCTTGTGAGATGTACCTGTCAGATTTGTTTTCTTTGCCGTTTTAAAACCACAAGTTCTTTCTACTGAATTTGTAACAAAACTTGTGAAATTTGGAATTTTCATATTAAAACTAACTTAATGCTAGTTAATGTCAACCATTTGGTCTGCTCCAGTTTAAAAGGCATAGTTATTCCCGGCATGCAGGGGACCTTGTTTATTCCTGCCTTATAGCTATTATTTCAGCATCACAAATATTAATGAATAAAAAAAGGATTCAAATGCAGACTTATAAGAGCCAACCATTCAAATCTTCCTGTTTCGTTGGGAAAATGTTTGTATTTTTAATATACATTTGTGTTTTTCTAATTCTCAGATTTTTTTTCTTTGTGAAGAAATTCTGGATTTTGGGAAATTCTTGCCATCTATCTTGATACCTAGTCCACATTTCATTTTAAAGGAAATAAAGCTCAGAATCCTGTTGATGTTTGCATAAGATGTGCATAAGTTTCTGGAGTTAACTGTGGCTGATTCGTGAGATACCAAGACATATTTTGGTCATGTCATGTGCTCGGTCATGCACCCAATGAGCAACTGATATTCATCCTGGCATTTCACCAGCCAGCTGGCAAATTACACAAATGTTCCATGGACACCAAATCAGGAGACTATTTTGTATAGCTACCATGTGGTATCTAATTTGGCTTTTAATTTCCACCTTGGATAGTTTCCATGTATGTCTTGGCTGTATTCACACTACAGCCCAGTTGCTCTACCCTAAAGAATTCTCTCTTGCAAGGTCTTCTTGGCAGGCTTGTTCCTGTGATGATATAAAGCAGGAATGACCTATTTCAGAACATGGGGAGGGGATTTTATCATCCATAGAAAAATATGGGTCCCAAATATTCTGATATTTTAACAGATAACAAGATTCCTTGTAGTCTGTCGTGCTTATAAAGTATGGTGTACAGAATATGTTAATCATACTTATCTAGACAGGTTAATAAATATTTGGACATGTGACTAATAATGACTTGCTGTGAGTTTTCACAAGAGCAAGTCTACCCAACTCAGTCTTACCCATTTGTGCATGTATTGTCTTCCTGATAACGCAGACTATATCAATGTGAGAAACTGATGTTTTCATTCTTGTGGTTTTTCTGTCTGTGCAGTCCCTCCTACAATAAACAGAGGAGATTTATCAGAAATGGTCTTTTCTCCTAAAGAGGTGAAGATCAGAGTGAACAACAGTCTTACGCTAGAATGTGAAGCTCATGCAATTCCTGCTGCTGGCATCAGATGGTACAAGGATGGACAGGCCAGTCACTAACTCAACTTGTTTCAACAAGCAGTTTTAACAAACCAATAATCTTCTTCACCATATTGTCTTCCTTCCCTCCATCCCATCTGCAAAAACATGGTTATCAATGATCAACAAAAGTTCCTCTATGGAAGGAGTAACACTTTCACCACTATAGAACCCATGAATTGTGGGACAGTGTAGGAAGAACTACCCCTTAGCTACTGTCTACGTTCTGCTATTCTTTATTGTTACCTTGCTTTTCTTTTCAGCACTCCGAACTTAAATGTGTTCCATGTACGTGCTTCCCTCATAAGCACTAGCATATGAATTACTGCTCTTGGTTCATAGAGTTTTACAAGTACTGTGGATGCAATTTTCCCCAACAGAAAAGCCTTTAGACAAGTATTAAGAACTCTCATATTATTAATAGAAATATTATTCTTGTTGAGTAAACGAAGGAGAGCAAAGAATCCTTTACAATGGTAATCTTGATATTTTGCTGTTCTTAATGATATGCCAGTAAACAGTCACACATAATACTCCTTTCAACTTTGGGGTGGAATAGGTAAAGAGAATGAAATATAAAACCATGTCTTAGTGGAGACCCATACAACTTGTGGCTATGTTGCAGGTGTGTGCTGTTTGATCAGCCTTCTGGTTTTGCTGGCTTCCCAGGAATACAATAATGGAAAATGGAGTGTATCAAACACTTGATATGAAAATGGGAAGTGAAAGGCTCCAGGAATGTCGAGAAACATTTACTTAGCCCACAGTGTTTCAGATATTTTTTGGGAGGCACTCCTAGTAGAAGTAGCTTTCAGCTCTGTTGTGATGCATGAAGTTGTCACAGGTGGTACAGGCACATCTTAAATACAAAACATACAAGGTAAAAAAAACATTGCCTTTGCATCTTTAATTTATTTACTGAGCCCACAGTGTTTCAAATATTTTTGGGGAGGCACTCCTAGCAGAAGTAGCTTTCAGCTCTGTTGTGACGCATGAAGTTGTCACAGGTGGTGCAGGCACATCTTAAGCACAAAATATACAAGGTCAAAAAAAACATTGCCTTTGCATCTTTAATTAAAACTTCACATAGCATTTTGGTTAATTTTATTACAGCTTATTATACCAGGTGATCACATCACAACCCAAGCTAGCGGGCGCACCCTACAGATCAAGTCAGCACAGATCTCTGACACTGGTCGTTATAGTTGTGTAGCCTCCAATATAGCGGGAGAGGATGAGCTGGAGTTCGATGTCAACATACAAGGTAAAATTCTTAGCAGAGAAAGCATGAATCATGACATGTACATAATATAGTGTAATTCTAATTGTTCTTGCTATTAATTAGCCAAATGGGTAGGTAGCCTACAGGTACATTGAGTGTGAACACAGGAAAGATGGAAATGCAGAGATGAAGACAAGTTGTACAGGAACAGTCAATTTGTCACATTGAAAGGACCTGCTACCTTGCAGAGTCCCTCAAAGCCAGTGAAGGTTGAGGGCGTTGCATGTAACAACTGTTCAACTGCACCGAAAGTAGAGAATAATATTTACATGTAAGTCTGGAAGGTGAGTCATGGCAACTGGACTTCTTTCTTATTAGGCTGAAATGTTTCGCTACTCATACAGGTTGCTTCTTCAGTAAGTTGTAAGGTTACTGACAAGAGGAAATAAACTGAAAGGCAGGACATGGTGTGGCAATCTAAGTATCTTGACATTGTTTATGAAGAAATGTTTAACTGTGGGTAATTGAAAGTGGGAAGGAAATTGTTCAAATAACGACAGCATTGAATCTTCCTTGCGTGTGACCACACAGTAATTCTAAAGACAATGCCCAGTGAGCTGCTTGGGACAGCCTTCCTCAGCTTGATGCCCTTCGGATGACTGATCCATGACTTTCATGATTCCTGACTATTCACCATATTGATTGGAGCTGGTGAGAGTTACAGTCTGAAACATCTGAAGAGCATCAGGTTGCAGAAACCTGCAGGGACAAGTGTTTCCACTAGGTTATGGAGAAAGTTATCCCTGTTAAAGTTTGTTGTGGTTCCTAGACTGTTTGTAAGAAAGGTATTGTATAAGATACCATACCCTTCTTATAAACAGTCTAGATACTTCTGGATATGCAATAACCTCTTTAGTTTGTTTTGCAAATTTTACACTTCAAAATTAAGATTATACCCTCCAATTCAACTCTTTATAAACAGTATTCAGAATTACATGCCCCACTCTTCTTCATCTGTCTTTCCCATGCATTATTTATCACAGTTCCTCCTAGTTTCCAAAAACCGCCTGGAGGCTGGGAAGATGGCAGTGTTCTGGGTACAGAAGCGAAAACTGTCATACTGAACAATCCACTTTCTTTATACTGTGAGACGAATGCTGTGCCCCCTCCGGTCCTTACTTGGTATAAAGATGGCTATCTACTGAGTTCCAGTGGTAAAGTATTGATACTACCAGGTTTGTATTAAATTATGTTAAATATGTTAAGATAATAATTTGATAGATCATTTTATATGCAGATTATTGCTTTTTGAAATCTAAAGGGTGAACTTTTGTATTCCACAGCATGTTGATTATAGAAACTACAAGTAAGGAAGCTGCACTACTGCTTTTGTAGTACTTGTATGTCTCTTATTTGAAATGGCTGAAACAGCAAAATTTGTTGTTTGGATTCTTCTCCCTCATGGTTAGTGAAAGGCCTGTTTAGGGGAAACAAGAAGCATCCTACTGACTCTAATCAATACCTCACTGTCATAGGATGTCTTCCCATAGGCCTTGAAAACAACAATTATATGACCTTTACCGAAGATATATGCTATGGATAGAAGGCATATATCTAGTTCTTGGCCAGTTTCCAACTTGCCCTTTTTGAGTAGTGCTGTTGAAAAGGTAGCAGAGGAGCTCCAGAAAAACTATGGTGATGCATCTTCTGTTAACCTTTGTTGGTCCAGTTTCCAGCTTGGTTATGGTCCTGAGATGGTTTTGGTCATCCTGATGGATGGTGTCCTTTGCTATTTGGACAAAGGCAAGTCATTTTTGCTGATACAGTATTGCTAGATCTTTCAGCAGCCTTTGATACAGTGGATCATGGCATGCTGTTGAAGAGATTAGAGAAAGACCTGGGCCTTGTAGTTATTTTCATTTTTTCTCTGCAAGATTCCTGGAGAGTGATGACAGAAAACTGCCTATCTGCTGAGAATGGTCTTGTGGAGTACCACAAGACTTGTTTTAGCATCATTGCTCTTCCACATATATATGAGACCACTACTTTTTCATGGTCTGAATTCTGTGGTCAGCTGGTCTAAGGTCAACAAACAAGGTGAAGCTGTACAACGTAGAGGTGATGCTGGTTCCTCAGCAAATGGCAAACCCAGCTGTCACCTCTCTAGAGATTGATGAAGAAAAAAATTTCCCTTGTGATTTAAGTAAGGACCTTGGCTGTTGATACAGTGTGCTGTATAATCCTGGCAGAATGTGATCCTATGAATGTTTGCAAAGTAATACTTTTTTTATTTATATGACAATCTCTGGTAAAAATAACGTAAAAGTATATAAATATATGTACTTTGTATGTTTAACAATAGTAGTAACCATTTTCAGTATATTGTTTAGAATTAAACCTTGTGATCTTTGTTAAGAATTCTTAAAATCTTAGAACGACATAGGTTAAAACAGAAAGTTAAAGCTGGAGGGAGACACATGTTACATACAGCACTGATGTTACCTGTCTGTCATGGGTTTGGAGGGAAAGTTCCATCCTATGGGGAGTGGAAGGCGGGACATCAGGAGGAGGGGCTGTACTGTATATAAATGTGGAGCGTGTGTGGTGAACACACACACTGGGAGATACTGAGAGACACTGGGTTGTGACGAAGCAGCAGCTGGGAAGAAGAAGCTGTTGTGGGAGTCTGTGTGTCAGACAGGGTACTACTGTGTGTCAGAGTACCAACCTGATAGGTTCAGGTGTCTGTTGGTTAGCCAGAACTGATAGGTTCAGGGTCTGTGCTTCAAGTTAAGGGTTCTGGGTGAACCAAACTGTATGCTTGTATGAGTGAGAATAAGCCACGTTACTTTATCCTATTCACCTGATTGTTTATTTTTCCCTGTGTGTATTTAAATAAACCTTATTCTTTTTATTGTTTCAAAATCCATCCCTGGTCTGTGTGACTTCTTAAAGGGAATGGTTGGTGGCAGCTTAGTGTAACTGTGTGACATATCCCAGTAGGTCTGGGTTTGTTCATTAATTGGGTTCCTGGGGGAGGGATCTGTATTTAAAATAAAAATAACCTGCTGTTGTTTTCCTGCTAGGAGGTCGTGTATTGCAGATTCCACGGGCTCAAAGTGAAGATGCTGGTCGATACATATGTGTGGCTGTAAATGAGGCCGGAGAAGATTCCATCCAGTACAGTGTCCGCGTACTTTGTGAGCTCGCCTTCTGATATTTGATTTTAGAAATCTTGTGTAGGAGGTGAAAGGAACAGACTAGAAGAATGAGATAATCATTCATAATTCTTTTAAACACCTATGCATTCAGACTAATTTCTTGCCCCACAGGGATTTTTTTTTAATGTTCATTTCTCTCTCTACAACAAATCTGGACTACACAGGAAATGCCCTGTGATTTCTGATAGTAAAGTGATCAATTGTTTTATGGTATGTCAGTGCCTCTCCAGATATAGTTATGTGTTTGTTTTAGTTAAGCTTACCCTTAGGGTGCAGTATGGTCAGTTAGACCAAAGATAGCAGGTCTTAACTGAACAATAGGCTGGAGAGGAATCCATTCAAAAGTTGCCCCCAGTTGAATCTACAATTAACAATGATGGGCAGGGTTGCAACAATTAAAATGAATATCTTACCAAAATTGATATTTTTATTTCAAAACATTCCAGTGATTTTTGAAACAATCGATATTTAAAGAACTAGACCAGCTTATTTCTAAGTTTGCTTGGGAAGGAAAGAAACCAAGGATAAAATTAAAGGCACGTCAGGATATGGAACAGAGAGGAGGAACCGGTCTCCCGAACTGGATGCTTTACTACAGGGCAGCCTTATTAATGTGGATCAAAGACTGGATTTTATTGGAAAACCAAAGACTGTTAAAATCGGAAGGTCATGATTTGAAATGGGATGACATGCCTTTCTTTGGTATAGCAGAACAAATGATTTTAAACAATTTAATAATCATATCTTGAGAAAATCCTTACTGTGGTCCTGGATTAAAATTCAAAGACAGAAGTACAGTGGTGCCTCGCTTAACGATTGCCTCGTTTAGCGATGAATTCGCATAACAATGTGGTTTTTTAGAAAATAATATGCACCGTATAACAATGTTTCCTATGGGCGATACATTGAAAAACAAAGATGAATTAGTAGCACAGGGATTTGATATCGACTGGTGGTCACATTCTCAATTCATTTCAAGATATGGCAAAGATAAGCAACAAGGTTTTTATGTGGATAATATTCTCTTTGACAGAATCCTCCTCGACACCAAAGATAAGCATATTAAAGCCTTCTATAATTTTTATTAGGTTTTTGATATCCAGAAGGAGGTGGTTAAGGAATGCATGATAAGGTGGACACTGAATATTTGGCACAATAAAAGCTTGAATCAGTGGGAACAAATATTTGCGGTCTCCGACCCATTAAAATGCATACATATACTATTTAAAATAAATGGAAGCAATTAAAACATTTCAAGACAGTGAAAACAGTGAAAACTGATAAAATGGCTTACCCATATATTGTTTTTTTTATTTTTTATGATGGGGTTAGGTAGAGGTCAAGATTGTTTTTCATATTCTTTGAGCAGAGAGAAAGAATTTGGCCACTGATTCGGTGGTTATCTTGTTTGTGTCACTTAATAAATATTTTGTATGCCAAATCAGAGTCCTACCTGGGAATATGGGCTTGAGGAATTTGATATGCTCATTTCTGTAAAATGAAGGTTTGTTTTTTTTTTTACTATATGTGGTGGTCATGCGGGAAAGCCCAAAAATATTGGAAAAGGGTTGAAATGCTTTTGCAAGAGGTTCTAGAGATTCTGGTAACTGTAACCTCTGAATTCTTCCTTTTAAACATAATGTAAACATAATTTGCTAATAACTCATGAGTTAATAGCAAAAATTCTGCATATGGCAGAAATGGATAAATTATCAGAATGGTTAGATCTGACATGAAAGATGAATCATGACGATTGTTGGCATACATTTTATGACTGGCTCAGAAACAGAATACAAATTAATACTTCATAATAGAAAGTCTAGATTAATTTAGAAATAGAATGTATATCATAACTAAGCAATACCGGGAACTCATGTATCTTTGAAATGTAACAGATAAGAAGGAGTACAGTGGTGCCTCGCATTGTGACGTTAATTTGTTCCGCAAAAATCACTGCAGAATGAAAACGTCGCAATGCGAAATAAAAAAGCCCATAGAAACGCATTGAAACC